TGTTCCTACAGAGCTCTGTCTTTCTACTGATTAGTCATTCATTAGAAGGTTTTCTTTTTTTTATCTTGTCATAAACAAAAACAAACATGGCAGCTGGGCTAGCTTCAGTTCTGGTAAGATAGAGGCCTGCCACCTGCACTACAATTTAAACATTGCTTCTGAATTATCCTTTATGTCGTACATATTACGTCAAACACACCTATGTCAGAAAGGTTTTTTGTTTGTATATCCGTCAAGAAGATCCCTTATGCAAAAGGTAATATTAAACTAGTAGATGTTTATTTCTACATACACAATTTTTGAGAAAAAGTTAAGTGTCTAGTAATGTGGTGTAGTAAATTGTGCTTTGATTGGTATAATCAAAGTCATGCCCTACAAACAACTATCATTTGAGATTTTTGTTTATTTTGTTAAAGGTAGAAGCTTATGTTTACTCACGAGTGGCAGTAGACGCTGTTTTAAACATTTGGGTATATTGAAGATTTTATTTATGTATTTATTTTCAGTAATTTCAATTAAATCACCAAATTAGGCACATTGAATCTGCAAGATTTTGAAAACATAATTGTCATCATTTTAATAATTTGCTGTGTTTACTGTATGTTCAGCCACTAGAAAAGATTAGTGTAGCAGTTCATCTGGACAGCAGTGGTTTGTCTGTGATTGAACACTGCTGGAGACCATGAACTTTTCCATGCAACTGTACATACAGTAAAAACAGAAAAAAGTTCAGTGTTATATTGGTGATAACTAGTGTGTTCATGATTCAAACACTCTCACATTTCATGTGTCTAAGTCCAAATGTCCAGCAGACTGGACGCTGAACATTATATGCTCCCCAGTAAACAAAATGTTTTAAATGTACTGTGTTAAATAGTGTGCAGCAGTGAACATGTTTCATAACAAAACCTTGTTTATTTTTAAATTTCCAGTGCTGGGACCGAGGAGGTTAGTACATTCATTGGCATAATATGTACAGTGCTGTGAAAAAGTTTTTGCGCCCTTCCCAATTTCTCGTATTTTTGCATACTTGTCACACTTGAATGTTTCAGTTCATCAAACTACTTTTAATGTTAGGCAAAGATACAAACACAAAATGCTGTTTTTAAATGATTATTTCATTTACTGAAGGAAAAATGCTATTCAGCCCTGCCTGGCCCTATGTGTAAAAGTAATGATTTGACGTCAGTTAAACAGAGCAAAAACGTTTGTAGGAATATACGTCAGTGATAGCTCAACTTTTGTTAAAATATTCATGTCATGCCAAATCCTCACACTAGGCGGCAGTATTGCACTAACAATAAATCCGAAATCCATGAAAAACGCTCAGAACGTGTTCACTGAAGGCCTTTGGTTTCAAAACGGTTTACCGTTTTTTAGACTGGCAGCTTTTTCTTTAAACTTTTAAGCTTTGCTCATTGGCCATTTTCACATCTGTATCTGTGCACTCTGTGGGTTTCCAATTACTTACTGTAGCCCATCTGTTGCTGCACAGTTTATCAGGGCTGCAGTTCAGCAGCTTGGTGCTTTATCTGGTCAAACACACCTACTAAACCTGGCAATTAACCAGTGAGTTGAACTGGTGTCTTTTTACCGTGCTGGCCGTCCAGGATCAGTAGATAACACCCCTGCTCTAGGCTGTCTGTCTGCTGACTAGATATGGTCTGGATGGTGGACCATTCTCAGCACATGATAGTAATATGGTAGCGTGTGTGGCTACATGCCCTCAGGAAGCAAAGAATTAAGCACCCATAACTGAAGATACTGCTAATATTGCTTTCCCTCAGCCTTTTGTGCATTTTAATTTCAACATCACATCACAGTCAGGTGGATTTAGTGATTCTGGCACTCTAGGCAAAAGACAGGAATGGGGCCCCCTGGAGTCACATTTTTATTTTCAAATTAGTTAAGCTCTGGGTTCCTGAGTGGCACATCCTTTTACACTGAAATAAAAAGAAAAATAGTGAAAAAGTGAAAAAGGTGATGGCAGGGCAATGAAGCATGTCGGCAAAATAACAGCTGACCCCTCTCATCCTGGACATCAACTCTTCTAGCCACTTCCCTTTGGTGGAAGATTCTGGGCCATCAAATCCAGCACAACCAGACATGCTAACTGCCTTTTCCCCAGAGTTGTAGCGCTAATCAACCACAGTGAACACTTCACATTATGATGATGATGATGATGATGATGATGATTATTATTATTATTATTATTTATCCTGTATTCTATTTGCTAACATGAATATTAAAAGCAGCTGGAAAATGTTCTAATGGTCTTTTTTCAGCAGGCTATGTGACTGACCACAGATGTGTAAATATTTTTAATAATGACTGGCAGTGACTGTTGAAGCTGTTACATTTTTTCCAAATGTTTAGTAGTTTGACTTGTTTTTCTTAAAAATTTTAAGCTAAAACATTTTTTTTGCATAATTAACATAATTACAGATCTGTTCTAATGAAATAACATTAGCTAATGTCAGCTCATGTTAATGCATCACAACCCTGTTAAACTAACAAAGGTTGTGTTAGATCGTGGTCGTTAGGTAGCTAGGTGGCTCAACGGATGTCGGTAAAGTTGTTAATTTGCTTTTCTGACTATGTGAAGCAAACTTGTAAACTATTTTAAGATAATAAGGGCCTGGGCCTATCCAGAGTGATCACAGGCCTATTTTTATTAAGCAGATTTTTTAAGACAATAAAATGTAAATGTTTTCTGTGAGTACTATGGATAATCAAACTATTAAGCTTCCAATCACTTTCTTAGCAACCATTGCTATCCACGATTACCTCAAGCCTTCAGTTCGTTATCAGCACGGCAGTGTTTGATAAGCTCCAGCTGTGGTAAAAAGATGAAACCTGAGACCTCCTGTAAAGTATGTCATTTTCTACCCATCCAAAGTCAAAGAAAACCTAGTCGTCATCTGTTTCTTAAGTGTTCTTTTACTACAAACGCTGAAATTGGCTTAGTGAAAATGTCACAGCAAATGACTAATGTTACTTTAGTACATCACAGGTGCGACATGAACAGACCATAAACATGTTTCCGGCTGTGGTAATATGTTTTTGGATTCGATGATTAGGTCCAGAATTTTAAGTTTGCTGCTTTTTTCCTTGTCTTTGCACATCTCAGTCTGATCTTAACTTAATTCTGTCATCTTACAAAACAATGTGAGCAAACTTGCCTGTGCTGAGCAGACAGATGCTTTAGTCTTTGTAGTGAAGGGTGCTGCAGTGTTCTGTTGTTATGTATCACCACAGGCGTGGAAGCATTGGAACAGGTAGGTTGATGAATGTATGGCTGTCAGGAATAGACTGTAGCCTGAGGGACATTAGCGTGTTTGGAAATTGTACCCAGTTGGCCCACCTACTTTCTCACAACCTCCCCAAATATGTATTTCTGCCTACGCCACTGACAGTAAGTAAAATAAATCAGCAGCAAAAACATGATGACCACTTGAACAAAATAAGCAGAAGCAATTTGTAGAAAGACATTTAAAAAGTCATGCAGTTTGTGACACAAGGGGCACGTTCAATCTCAAAACACTGTGCACCGTTTTGCTGTTTTCCGGGTTGGACGACCCTTGGATGTTCTGTCAAAACGGTGTGCAAATGGCTTTGAGGCACATTATCTCTCCTTTGATGGGCATGTCAGAGGTGTTACCCAATCAACAGTGACATACATATAAACCCCGCCGTATTAAAAAGGCAGAGCACACATTGGATTCTAATAAAAGTCCTAGACAAATGCGGCTTCTGCAGCTTGGGGATGTGCAACAACTGAAGACATTAGTAGGCATGTTTGTCATAAGTATTTTAGTGTAAAGTTTTTTAAATATAATATGCTAGAACAGGCATGTCAAACTGGGGAACTTCCAGACCAAAGTGCTGTGGAGATTGACGTTTACCCTCATCTAATGCTCTGAATTCAGTTTATGAAGGCCTTGCTAAATAGCTGATGAGCTGAATCAGGTGTGTTTAATGAGGCAGTGTACTGAAATCTGCAGTGTTTTGACCCGCAAAGCCTGAAGCCTGACACATGCGCTAGAAGGACGCCAAGAACGGCCCTCTCAGCTGCCATAATTGCAATGCTTACGTAATACAATGTTCAACACTGCTTCCGTTTAAATAAACGTTATGCTAATACATCAATAAAAACACTGTTTAACGTCCTAAACACAATAAAGCTCCTGGTAGGAAACAGTAGGCTAGCATAAATGTAATAATCTATATCAAATTAAATGATTTAAATTAATTGAAGAAGAATGTGACGACTCAGCTGAACAAAGACCATTAGAACCATAAGGATTAAAACCTGATGATTTTGCTTCCGAATGGGAAGTGGATTAATGGTACCATTAGAGACCACTAGTTTAGGACACCTTTAGCTCCCATTAGGAAACCAGTAAAGGTGTCTAGAATCAGTTACAGGTCACCTATTAAATCATCAGGGTCCTTTATATAATGACATCACTCCATCAGGTGAAGCCAAAACACATTACAGAACTACCAGGAAAAAAAAAAACTGATATAGCCTTTTCAGCAGGGGAATGACAGTGTCCAGCCTATTTTTTATTAAAGATTAGCTGACGAACACGGGGTCGAGTTTTAAAAACACATCCATGCTGATTTACTTGCTGTTAACAGACATAAAGTGATCACGGTTAAAAAATTCCGTCACTAAAAAATAGTTCCTGACCCAGTTTCAGGAGCTGTAACTGCACCTGAGTCAAAAAAGCTCAACGTGAATTGTTTTCTCTGCTTTCTAATGAGTAATAACAAAACCTCTGTCTTCAATCTCTGCCACTGTGTTCCGCCTTACCGATCCAATAACCGTGTTGCCTCTCTCTCTCTCTCTCTCTCTCTCTCTGTCTCTCTCTCTCTCTGTGTGTCTCTCTCTCTCTCTCTCTCTCTCTCTCTCTCGCGTGGTCATAGATAGAAACAGGAAGAACTCAGGACTTTTATCACTGTAATATATGAACAAGCTCCGCCTTGGCGGTTTATTAGTAGCCACTCTCAGCGCAGCAGTTTCGCCGGAATACGGGTGGGGAAAAAAATAATAAGTCTTTAATCGGCCCGTGATGTGAAAGTGACCAGAACAGTTAGAGACACTGACAGACGCATTGCTGTAGTTTTCGAGCCCGCGTTCCTCTCGGGCAGTGGAGCTGGACATGGAGCTTTACTCAGAGGCGCTGCAGTACCTCGCATCCCATGGTCTACCTGGTATGGCTAAGTCTACAAAATCCAGCTGTTTGACAATATTTAATGTTTACATTTAGATTTAATTCTCATGCCGGTCAGTTTGAAATGTTAAAGTTTAGAATTGAGTGTCAGTCTGTAATATCACAGTGTGTTTTTCTGGAGACCCACTACGACTGAGGAAAAAATAGTGTATTTTCAAAACTTATTTATGTCATTCGCTAGCGGAGGAAGAGGATGAGGAGGAGGAGGCTGTAGATTCAGACCTGTTGCAGGACGTGTTCAGTGATGACACAGGCTGGGTTTCTAACAGCACTGAGGTCCCAGGTCTTCCAGACACACCGGTGAGGCGGCATAATTAACTCCACAATGGCTTTTGTGGTCTTAGTAAATTGATTCAGTGGCTGGATGTAGTGAGATAGCTTATCATTTGGCTAAGTTCAACATGGGACTGGGGAGTTAATGTAATTGTTTTTGAGTTGATGTTCTTATAGTTATTATTTTTATTGTTTTAGAACTGGAAATGAATGAGTGTCTAGACTGTGGAGTTTCTGGATCAGTAATCTGTTGGACTGATTGATGTTCTCAGTGATGAGTTGTTGTTTCAGACCTACAGAAGCCCAGAGGACATGCTGGAGAAGAGGCTGCTGTTGCTCAGAGAGATTTTAATCAGTGAAGAGGTCTACCTGTCTGAACTGGAGACACTGCTCACGGTAACATTCATACACACCAACACAAACACACACACACACACACACACACACACACACACACACACACACACACGCACGGCAACTCACAAACAAAGACAAAACATACATACAATGACTTTCGGACTTTCCATAGTTCCCTCACATACGTGTGCTCACAGACTTGGATTTGAATGTGTGTGTGTGTGTGTGTGTGTGTGTGTGTGTGTGTGTGTGTGTGTGTGTGTACACAGACACACAGGCAAACACACAGGTTTCCTGTGGAAGATGGTGGCTAATCCACAAATGTCTATATTGCGTAATTACTGTATATTATTTTTAGAATGATTACATAATATTTATTGCCTCAAAAATAATATTGTACATCTTTTCCAGCCTTATCATATAAGTCTGAAATCATGAATGATACATATTTCTTAATTTTATCTCGGATTTCTTGTGAATATTTCTTAAAAATAAGAAAATATAGATTTATAAACAATATTGGGGTATTGAATAATCATGATAAACAAGTGAAAATATGGATTTGTGGTTCTGAGTGTCTTTGTCCAGGAAGTTGATACATGTTGAACATTTTGCTCTATGCCTTTCAGTGACTGGGTTTCTAATTTGTACTTGCACCCAAAGGGTTATACATGCTAAACGGAGACAACGATTCTTCCCCTTTCAGTTATGCGGATGGCCAGACTTCTCTTTCTTACCCTCCTAAGCAAAAAGCGAAGTGTTGCTTCCCTTTCGGTTCATGCTTTTAGGTTAGTAAGGTGTAAAGTTTAATGTGAGAGACTTTGATGAAGGTATTTTCTCAAGTACTTCAACTTGTACATTATGGAGTGGAGAAAGAGAGAGAGCCACTGCTGAAATGGTTGGTTGGAATTAGCTGCTGTGTGTGGTTCTACAACTTACTCTTCTCACTTTAGTGGGCAGTACTTGCACTTATATTTGAATACATCTCGCTCGTGAGAAAAGAGCACCACACTTCTCGCTTCCTTTTATTTCTCAGATAGAAACAAACTCGCACTTGGGTCTCTCTCTCTTAGGCTGCCTCTCAGCATGGTTGGGCTTTTTCTATATGCACACACACACATACAGATACACACACACACACACACACAATGAAATTATCTCACAATTGCCCTTTTTGCACCTTACTGAAACTAACATTTTAGCCACACCTATATACTTTGGGTTCACTCCCTCTCAGACTTTAGTTCTCCCTCTATCTGTAATTCTTTCTCTATCTCTCTCCCCAGCCTATGAAGGCTCTGAGGGCCTCAGCTGGTACGTCTCAGCCCGTGTTGTCTATAGAGCAGGTCCAGACAGTGTTCTACCAGCTGCCGGAGCTCAGAGATCTCCATAGAGAGTTCCACAGCGGCCTCAGGGCCAGACTGCAGTCTGTGGACATGGAACCAGGTATACCTGTCCAGTTACAGCACAGAGACCCTCAGCTGTCTGTGGGAGACCTCTTCCTGAAGTTTGTGAGTTTGTATTTTTCATGTCCTTTGCACAAGTGTTCTGAAATTACCTCTATTAGCTTTTAACAGGTAAATGAGCTGAATGTTTCATTCTGAGATCCATCGATCTCTTTGTAAAGTTTTATTTGTTTCTAGCACATCTCTTTCTGTGGCTTTGCATACACCATGGGTCTTCAGTCCATGCAGGGCTGTAATGTGGCTGTCTACATTGTTGATACACAGGTGAGCCAGTTAGGACTGTATAGAGGGTTCATCGATAATTACGAGAGTGCGGTTCAGATTGTGAGGAAGAGCACCCAGTCAAACCCACGATTCCGAGTCCTTGCCGAGGTACGTACACTGCGCTGAGGAATCACTGCAAAGTAGGTTTATGGTCATCTAGTGGAATTCATATGCTTACATCCCTTTTCATGTTCCTGTTCCTAGAGCATGATGTACACTAAAGGGTCAGACAGCTTCAGAACTAAGTACACCTTTGAAGGTAATGCAAGAGTATTTTTTTTCTCTCCCTCTATAAAGACCGAGGCCAGACATTAATGCATTTCTGGATGTTTGTTTGTCCCATATTCATGTGTCTCGTGTCACAGCTCTCCTCTACAAGCCTCTGGACCGGGTGACGAAGACCACTTTAGTGTTGCATGTAAGTGCTGCGTGTAAAAAAAATAATAAAAGAGATCTATAGATACTGTAATAACTATTCAATTTTATAATATAGTTATGAGTCTGTCTTCTTTTGTTCATTTCTGTGGTTCTTATTGCTTCCTGTCACCTGTGTCTCTTCAGGATCTTCTGAAACACACACCAGGTGATCACCATGACAGTACACTGCTACAGGAAGCTCTCCGTGTCTCCAGCAGTTTCCTGTCTGGGGTCAATGAGGGGTCACAGCAGAAGAGAGCTGTCACTCTCAGCAGAGGAGAGGTACCTACATACACTCGAGCACACATTCTAGAAGTCTGCACAGATGTGAAGCCCAAACTCATCCCAAACTTGCAAATTTACGACATGACTGATAGTACTGCTAAATTTGACACCTGAACCCAACCAAGACCTGCATGTGTGCACTAAAGCCAGGCATACATTACACAACTTTTAAAATCTTTCTAAAATGGTAGGCATCACAAACTTGACAACAGTCTTTCACAGACCTTCTGGTCTTTTTGTCATGAGGGTATTCACATTAGAGTATATGACCCGAGTGTGTATAACCGGATATAACACACATGACAAGACTCAGAATATCCACATATCCCCCGTTGTCACCTGATACAAACAAAGCTAAACTTACTGGACCGGACTTGTTTGTGTTTTTATGTGTAGCAAAAAGTCTTGACTTTGGGATGAATATGGGACTGAGAAATACTGATATGACAGTGAGAGCTGGAGAAATATTTCACTGCTTTGTGTATGGCTTCGCCTTTTTTCTCCACTCTTATAACTGTCTCATTGACTGTTGCTTGAATTACTCATTGAGTAACATCTCACACTGCAGGGCTTGTGAATGTTTTGAGTTGTAAAAGTCAAACATGTTTGAAATGATCAGAGGTGCTCCGATACTTTTAGAGCTCACACAGAAGGCTGAAGATTGACTCATCTGTCCTCTCACACTACTGTATTATCCGCTGCCTCAGTCATTTCCGATTGAGCTTCTGACCTGGAAAATCATTTCAGATTGTAAAAAGTTGTCAGAAGGGGCAAAATGGAGTTAAAATTAAAAAAAATTGTGTAGTGTAGACCCAGCTTTACAGAGTTGGCTTTTCTCAGACACAGCTTTACAGCGCTTTGCTTTCTTACAGAGCACTTGAGTTGATTTACAGAAAATGAACTAAAAACCTCTATATACTGTAGCGTCCTGTTACTGGCTCGTGCTGCCGCAGGGAGTGTGGGTGGCATGGCCATGCAAAGCAACCGTGCACAGAGGCTCTCGGAAGGTGCCGCATTTGCGGTAGGAAAGAGATCTATTATAAATCAGTTGTTAATAGTAGTGTATTGATGTGCATATGTGTTGTTTTTGCTGCTCTGTGCTGGGCTGTGGGCTAGTCAGTGTAGTGTTAGTGCCTATCGTTAGGAGAAAGTGTATGGCTAGAAGTGACTTGCCTGCTATCTCTGCCATTTCAGCAGTGCTGAGTGGCAGCTCTCCCTTACTGCATCTTTGATACTTATAACTCGACTGATTTTCACAAAAGTTGTTTTCTTATAATCTTCAGACATTTCGGTGTGTTGCTGATTATGTAATAGCCTAATTTATTTGGTGCTATATTAGTAAAACGGGTGGCTTGGTGGCAAAGTGGGGTCGCCTCACAGCAAGAAGGGCCTGGGTTAGATTCCGGGCCGGGCGACCAGGGTCCTTTCTGTGTGGAGTTTGCATGTTCTCCCCTTGTCTGCTTGGGTTTCCTCCAGGTTCTCTGGTTTCCTCCCACAGTCCAAAGACATGCAGTCAGACCAATTGGACATGCTAAATTGCCCCTAGGTGTGAGTGTGTGTGTGAATGTCCATGCCCTGCGATGGACTGGCGACCTGTCCAGGGTGTATCTTGCCTTCCGCCCAATGACCGATGGGACCCAGTAGGATAAGCGGCTTAGAAAGTGTGTGTGTGTGTGTGTGTGTGTGTGCGTGTATATTAGTAAAACACCAACAGCTAGCTATACTGAACTGTTCAAATTTAAATAAGTACGCTCATAACAGCCACAGGAAGTGACTGAGGGAAGTAATATTTAGATTTACATTATGTGTTTATTTAATGCTTACTGGTGATGGTGGAATCGCTAAAAAATGATTGTAAACACTGATGTTAAACTAGCTGTGATAATAATCTAGTATTATTGCAATCATACACTCACCATATACTTTTTTAGGAACACCTTCTTTTATCTACACTTATCCTCCATTTTGCCAGCTCCACTTACCATATCAGAGTATTTTGTAGTTCTGCAATCACAAACTGTACTCCATCTGTTTCTCTGCATGCGTTGTTAGCTTCCTATCACTCTGTTCTTCAATGGTCTGAATCCCCACAGGATCTCTACAGAGCAGGTATTATTTGGATGGTGAATCATTCTCAGCATTGCAGTGACACTCACGCGGTGTGTGTGTTGAGCTGGTACGAGTGGATCAGACACAGCAATAATACCGGCTCTGTGGTGGTCCTGGCTGTTTGTTTTTCGAGATACACAGCACAAGAAGCAAAGTGAGATCTCTCTCACACATTTGTTGTTGATTAGGCTTTCTTGTATCTTGTGTCTTGCACAGAGACGGCAGCTAGCGCGTGATGGTTTTGTGGTGGATGTCTGTGAGGGTGGACGGAACCTCAGACACCTGTTTCTTTACACAGACCTACTGCTATGTGTGAAACTGAAGGGTGGGACTATGGGGTGAGTATGGGGTGTATCCTTTATTCAGAGGAGCAAGCCTTCTTTGTGAAAGACAGTTTGCCTTTGCAGTGCAACTGTATCAGGAGGTGTGTATCAGGAGGTGGCCTCAGTATAGATGCACTGGAAGGCAGAGCCAGTACAGTCATTGGCCAGTTTATCAGACATACCTACCATATAAGCGCACTTTGCTTGTATAAAATGGACAAGATTTTTTAAAAGTTTTTAAAATATTATTTTTAATGCATTAATGTTTGTATTTGTTCTAATGTTGTGTTGTTTTTACAAACAAAAACACACTTGCTGGTGAGATATAACATTTTCAGCAATTTGCTAAGTACTGTATGTCTGTGTGTTTTATATAAAATAATAATTAGAAATGAATTTAAAATGGAAAACATCTGATAAATTTCAGTAAAAGTGTCTGGAAAGATACCCCAACTGTCCACTTCATTAAGTACACCTCCTTGTTTGTATCCATATTTTTAATTTTATCAGCTCCGCTTAAACATACAGGTACACTTTGTAGTCCTACAATTACAGACTGTAGTCCATCTGTTTCTCTGAATACTTAGCCCCCATTTCTTATTGTTCTTCAATGGTCAGGACACCCACAGGACTACCACAGAGCAGGAATTATTTGGGTGGTGGATCATTCTCAGTAATGCAATGACACTAGTGATGGTGGACAGTATTTAAAAACTTGATTATAGAATGGCTTATGTTTTGAGGATACCAGTATTTAGAGTGAATTACAGTGTTCTTGAGCATTGCTTTGATGCTTTTTAGATTAGATTTTGTACTTTCAGCAACTTTATATGGCAAAAACATGAATTTCCTGCAAGCTAATTCACTTTTGACCAGCTCTGTACGTGTGTATTTGTGTGTGTGCATGTCAGGAGGCAGCTTCACTACAGGTTTTGTTGGTATATGCCACTAGCGGGATTAAAGATGCACTGGGCGGAAGAGCAGGACCCATCAGCTGACCTTCAGCTTAAAATCAGTAACATGAGAGCAAAGATGTTTCACTGCAAGCGCATGCTTCAGGAGTATATGGTACTGAGAGTGTATTTGTGTTTGTATTTGTTTCTGTGTCTGCACGTGTATTTGCATGCGCCTGTGCGAATTTTTATGTGGATGTTAGTGTGAATATATTAAATATCACCGTTCTTGATTAAGGGTAGTCAGACCCTGTGTAAAAACTTATGTGTGTAACTGTATGTGTGTTTGTAAGTGCCTGTGGGTATGGGTTTGTCCTGTATGTGTGATAAGCTGCCTGTATGTCTATGGGTGGAGGTGTGAATTCATTAAATACGGAAATTCTAAATTAAACGTTCTGAAAGAACTGTGTGTGTGTGTATGTATGTGTTACAGAGAGAGAGTAAAGGGTCTGTTTCTCGTGCTGCTGATCGCTGTAGAAGGAAGCTTGAAACCTGTGAGCTTTGGCTTCTCACACACACACCTTCTTTCATCTTAGAGTTACATAGCCCAAACAGCAAGGTGAGGTCACCTTATATACTTTTTATAATGCAGCATATCACCTTTTGTGTATATACTGTACACTGTTAGAAATAACGGTGCTGTGCAGGTACATTTTTCATTCATTAAGGTACAAACAATGTAAATGTACCCTCAGAGATACAACAGTGATTTTAAGGTTCAGTTGTGTACCTTAAATAAGTTTTTTCTTGTGGTAAAGTACATATTTGTACCTTTTCATAACGTAATGTTTTAAAACAGAACAATAAAATAAAAAGCCTGGAGACGAGACGGGGTGTGTTGAGTCAATACAACTTCGAAAATAATAGAAGATTATGGTACAGTTATGTTCTCTGACTAAAAGTATTGAGATGTACCCTTAAGGGTACCATCCCAGTGACAGTTTTGTACCTTTTGAGTTCTGAGAGTGTATAAATATATATATAAATATATATAATATAATACAATATATATAATACATATATATATATGTATATGTGTGTGTGTGTATGTATGATGTGTGTATATATAGATATATATATTATATATATATAAAGTCTCTGTTTTTGCAGAGTCACATAATCCATTTATCTTCTCTACATGAGCTTGATGAGTGGAGAGAGGCAATAAACAAACTCAAAACAGAGGGTGAGTGGACATTCCATTCAGTATTTGTGCTTGTACCACCTTTCATTTTGATTTTCATGCATTGTATGTGTGTTTGCATGTGTGTCTCAGACCTTGAGACTGTGCTGCCGGATTTACTCTCTCTAGCCAACTCTTGTGTCAAACTGAGAATGACTCAACAGCCACCTCTTTGCTGCCTTCAGCCTGGTCAGTACCTTTCTTTGTCACACTTACACATACGTAGGCTTACACACGCAAACACTCACAGTCTCACATTTGCCTTCTCTCATTTTTTTATGTCCTTACTAAAGTTTCCATTTCACCCACGTGTCACAGAAAAGTTGTCTCCCTCTGCGTCTATTCTGTTTCTGTCTCTCTTTCACGGTCTAGGGTTCATGTCTGTGCCTTTGTCTTTGTTTTTGTCTTTGTCTCTCTCTCTCTCCCCCTTTCTCTCTCTCTCTCTTACAGAAGAGGCGAATAGCATTTGTGGGAGCCTGTGTGTGGTTGTGCATTCGGCCTGTGGTCTACAGCAGCCTGCAAGTAAGTCACGTCTCCCCTAGTCACAATCACATGCACAAGCACCCCGAGCAGTCCATCTAAACACTCCCCAGTTACTTTCTTTCAGTCGTTTAAACTCAATTCCTGAAAGACAATTCAGATTTTTAAAGCTCCTAAACTCCCAAACACATTTTACCTCCATAATTGTCATTAATCTCAAATCTTAAAGTGGTCACCTAGTTATATCTTTGTATAATAACACAATAACAAATATTGTCAGAAAGTTTAGCTTGAAGCATCTTGACACCACAAACTGTGTTAAATTTCTTCAAGTTTAAATACAACTTGTCATGAATTTGTTAACAGCAAGTTTCAAAATCTAACAGTTATGCACATATTTTATGCATCTACACAATCTTTGATTTTTCTGCAACCAGTAACATGTAGTTAACTTAGAGCTGTATCCATCAAATAAACCAGAAAGCATATTAAATGAATGCTCCCAGTTAAGTCCTTCCTTCGTTTTTAGTCTGTTCCTTCTTTCTTCAGCCATTCACTCTGCAGCTCACTCTCTCTCTCTTTCTCTCTGTGTTTTCCTGGGGTTACAGGTGTCTATGTGTGTGTTGAAGTTGATGGCTTTGAGATTTTTGACAGAAAGGCACAGACGTGTCTCTCCTCTTACAGTTTGACACCGCAGTGGGACCAGGTGAAGACCCAGCACACATAAACACAAACACATTACTTTTCAACTTGATCATTTTGAGTTCTACTTAATCTGATTTCATATCACTTCATCACTTTGGATATCATTTTAATGCATATGTATGCATATCGCTTTTGTCGGAAGAAAACTTTGTATCTCCATTTTTTATGTTTTTCAGTTTATGACATAATTTGAAAATGCCTGTTGCCCTTTACATTGTGTGTAAATATCATGATAAATGGACTAAAAGAAATGCCGTAAAATGACTTGGAAAAATGTCTGGTTCCATTAACCTACATTAAAAGTAGGTTTTTTCCTTCTCCTGTAAAGTTAGCATTTTGGAGATACAAGGTTTTCTGCCGACAACAGTGATATGTATGTATATGTATATATGCTTATTTGTATATTTTGTTCTGTTGTCCTGTCTAGTATTTGCTGTCATGTATCTGGTGTATTTATTGAATGTTCTGCACTCATTTCACACTGTTGTTTATCTGCATTTATGCAGTCCTATGAATTATGCTGCTGTCATGTGTTGCCCTATAGGGCCTGAAGAACGATATTTTTTTGTTCCAGTGTATACAAGTTGTACTGTGGAATTATAGTAAAGACCTCTTGTCTTGACTTGAATGAGTTCACATGTAACAGTGGAAAAGTTAAAATGGTCTGAGGTTCCTCAGAGCGCTCTAGCATTCAGCTCAGGGCAATTCAGTAGCAAGCATAATTTCTAATAAGGTGATCTTAAAACTATGAAGCCTCATGAAAAATGGGCCCTGAAGTATGTGTGTGTGCCTTGTAGGAGTTGGTGCTTCAGGTGGATGGAGCTCGGCATCTGCGACTGCTGTGTCTCTCTCAGTCTCAGGAGGATATCATGGGCAGAGCAACATTAGAGGTGAGGTCTCGAGTTCCTTTCAGAGCTAAACTAAGCTACCCAAGAGCAGTCACATGTAAGATGTTAACATGATCCAGCACTCATGCCAGTGTAATCAAAATACAATGAAAATGACTGTGCCTGTTCTTAGGAGTGCTCAAACAAGAGGTGATCATGAAGGGTCATACAGTGAGAAGCAAAAAAAAATTGTGTTCTAGATCAAAAAATGAACATGAGGCAAGCATAACAGCTTTTATTTCTGGGCAACATTTTCCATATACAGCATCAACCACACTTTATTTTTGTCATCTGTTGTATGAACATCACCAGTTTCCTTTGAGCATAAGTGTATGATAGCTGAGATGTTCCATGTTCCCTTAATTGTAAACACATAAAAGAGCTGTGAGTTGGTTGGAGTTGTTGGGGTTTGCATTAAGGGTCTTGTATTTAAGAAATAAAACAAGAGAAATGACTATGATCTGTAGCCCATGTGTCAAACACAAGGCCCGCAGGCCAAGTCAGGCCCGTGGCACAATCCTATTCGGCCCAAAAATTATTTTAATTTTCTATTAATATTAGCCCATTTCACCATGAGCTGCACTACAGTTCCCAGCATGAACTGCAACATAATGTGTGCTCCCACCCCCTCCCCAACAATGACCTATGGGACTGCGCCACAAAACAAAAAAAACAAAACAAACAAAAATGCCAAGCGAATGGGCAGTTATAGTAAACCTGCTGTACACTGGGGACCTTTAAAGAGGTTTGACAGTTATCTGCAGCTAATGTAGTCTATTCTTCCAAATAAAACAATTTGTTTTTATTATTGTTTTTATTTTGAATCGTTCAAATATTCAGTGCCCATTTTTTGCTGTTGTAGTTTTGGCATATTTTGAACAAATAATGGCTAGTTGGGGTCATGGCAAAAATATTAATTAAAAGTAAAATAAAAACACAGCTGGTCCATGGATTTGTTGAGATTTTTTAATGTGGCACTTTTAGTGCTTGAGTTTGACACCCCTATCTATAGTGTGGTATATATGTAGATAAACCTTGTGTGTACTAGAAAAGCTACACCATTCACTGACTTCGGCAGAAAAGCAGGCAGTTTTGAGCATGACATTAAAGCAAATACCTATCAGAACCATTGCAGGACAATTGGGCATTCCAAAAACAACAGTATGGAAAAAGAAAGAAACTACAAGAGGTGTTAGCAAATTGCAACAATCAGGACCATCCCAAGAAAATCATAGCAGCTGATGATAAGAAAACTGTTAGAGCTGTAAAGAAAAAAAGACAAAAAACAAAAATAACATCTGAAGCAATAAAACACAGTCTGCAGAGTGCAAAGTGAAATGGTCAGTATTCACCATTCACAGAGGACTTTCTGAAAAGAGGGAGTACACAAGCTGCACTACAAGATGCAAACCTCTCATCAGCAGCAAGAATAGAAGAGCCAGGCAGTAATTAACAAAGTACAAAAAAGTACAAAGATGAGCCAGAAAACTTCTGGAGCAATGTTTTATAGACAAATGAGGTAAAGATTCCTTATTTAAACCCAACTGAGCATGCATTTCACCTGTTGAAGAGGAAGCTGAAGTCAGAACACCCCCAAAACAAGCACCAACTAAAATAGGCTGCCATAAAGGCTTGGCACAGCATTACAAATGAAGTTATCAAGAGTCTGGTGAAGTCAATGGGTGTCAAGCTTAAAGCTGTTATTCCATTTTGTGAGTTCCGGGCTGGAGAAGCTGCCCAGAACTCCAGTCTGCCTGTAGCTAGAAGGCCAGATCCCCCCTCATAGCTGTAGTAGGACTGATATAGGACTGAGGAACAGGGAGAAGGCGGGGTGGTGGTGGGGATTGCGAACACTTCGTCATGGGAACTGAATGTGAGGATGTGAATTCATAGGGCTTTAGATTGGAAGAAGGAGGGGTTTCAGCCATGCTCCTCCCCCCAAACTTCAGTTATAACATAACTACATTTAAAGGGTTTGGGACCAAATACTTAATTTTGCTTTAAATATATTTGTTGCAATACTTATGCTCAGTTGAAATTGGAGGAGTAAATGCAACAAATGCCATTTTTCCTGCATGGCTTACAGTACGCAGGCATTTCATCTTTATGAAATAAAAGCAGACATTATGTGCTTTTGTCACATGTTCATATGTTGGTCTGGAATGTCAATTTTGCATATATATAACAACTACCACTTTACCTCATTGTCCCAATGTGTTTGCTTCTCGCTGTATATCTAATCACAAGAAAGTTCAGGATGTATTATAAACCACAGTAATTCCAACTAGAACTTTTTATTTATGATGTGTTAAATTCTCAAAGCAAAATAATGACTTGTGTTTTACCTTCTTTGTTTATGTGTGTGTATGTGTGGGTGACAGTTACATTCTGTTGATATGCTAAAGAAGTGGAAGAAAATGACCTTGAATTTGGGCCTGATAGAGGTGATCATATCAATTAAATACACACCCCACCCCCTGGAGCCACCTAGCTTCACTCCACTCCAGCAGAAGCCTGTTTTCTCTGTGCTAATTGGAGATGTAGCAAGGTCAGTATTTCAGTGTTTTGTAAGTGATCCAGTTGAAATGATTCATTTGGAAATATGCGAATTTACTGTGAAGATGTTATGCAAAGGAAAAAGATCGGATGGCAATGATACATAGAAGCAGTTGTAGAAAGTAGACTATTATGTTGTCATTTATTATTTATTATTAAGATAAAAAAAATCATATACCACAAACTAATACAACTGGTCTGAAATGTTTAATATAGTTTTATTTAGTGACTCAACAGTACAAAACAAAAAATTCAACAAATTTTCTGTCTTCTCACAATGTGCCTCGTAGTGCCCTGTTGTGAATGAGTTGTACTTTCTAAAAGTTTTTTGAGGAAATGGAAAGTTAAACATGAAGGATCAGCTTTATTATCAAAACAGGAATCTAGTTATGAAAGACTGGAATATTACAACAGACCAAAACTGTGGCAAGTTCTGCAAAAGAAAAAAGTATGTATATGAGGTACTCAGCAAGTCACATTCTGGGTTAGTTTCCTGTGATTTGCTGACTGTCCATGTTTTCTTGGTAGCTTGTTATTAATAATGCATTATGTATACACTCTTTCTCTCTCTCTCTGTGTGTGTGTGTGTGTGTGTGTGTGTGTGTGTGTGTGTGTGTGTGTGCTTATGTATATATCTCAGACAGGAGGGTGTGCTGGTGCCTCATATAGTGCGCTCCTGCGTGGAGGAGATTGAGAGGAGAGGGCTAGAAGAGGAGGGCATCTACAGAATCTCAGGAGCTAGCAGGGAGATTCAAGCTCTCAAACATGCATTTGACACCAGTGAGCAAGTGTGTGTGTGCGTGTGTGTGTGCGCATGTGTTTGTGTGGTGTGGGGGTGTGTATACATCACTAACACATGTGAAGGTTCTGCATGGCATGGATTTTTCATACTAAATGAAATAACCAAGTATCTCCATTTTTTCCGATATTCATTTTTCTGCATAATTTGAGCACAGCAGCTGCCCTTTACATTGTGTGAAAATTCTGTGATGAATGGATCAATAGAAATGCTCCAGGGTTGCTTGGAAAAAATCTCTTCATGTTGCCTTACATTAAATGTAAAGAATGTTTTGCCTTCTCCTGTAATGTTACCATTTTGCAGATACATGTGTTTCTTTGGACAGCGATGATATGGACATTTGTGCATATCTATGCCTCTTCCCTACTGTCTCTCCTCATCCTTCATTGCCCTGTTGTTTCATTGTCTCAGGACATCCAGGCTACAGAGGAGCTTCTTTCCACAAGCCATTACTCTCTTGAACAGTTAAAATACTATACATAAAATATTCCAGCTTCTAAACTGCACTACTAAATATATTGGTATCTATTATCACACTGAACATTCCATTCTCTAAAACTACCATCTCAGACCAGTGCTTCTTCTAGCACTTCACTTACCTGCCTTGTTACCCCACTTATCTGACTGTTACCTTACTGATCCCTTTCCTTGCCACTATACACTCTTTAATTGCTGCTGTACTCAGCACTTTAACTTAAGACACATATTTTGCACATTGTAAGGTTTACAGGTATGACTGTGTGTGTATGTGTCTGTGTGAATGAGTGAGTGATGGTAGGAATGCATATGTTATTTTATTTTATTCACTACCTTGTAAATGTTTGTCTGATACTGTGCACTATGAGCTCCTGTAACCAAAATCAAATTCCTTGTATGTATAAGCATACCTGGCCAATAAAGCTTGATTCTGATTCTGATTCTCCTTCTGTCTTCAGATTACTGGGAGGCTGTAAGTAAGGTGAGAAGTATGGATGTGAATGCAGTGTCTGGAACCCTCAAGCTGTACTTCAGAGAACTCCCTGAGCCTCTCATTCCTACTGACCATTTCCAGAGTCTATCCAAAGCGCTGGGTGAGTTGTCTTTTTTTTTCTCTCTCTCTCTCTCTCCCTCCCTCTCACACACACATTCGCATGTGCACACGTACATGCAGACTTTAAATACTTTTTTGTATATTTGTATTTAAATACTTTTTTGTGTACAATCTGCAATCCATTCACTGCCGATCTACTAATACATACAGTGCTGCCAAAGATTGGGACAAGCTGGCATTTCTGTCCTATGTATTGTATGGCAGCTGTCAGCAGTATACTTTCATGTTTTTGAGGTTGAGATTTTGAGGATTGATGTCTAATCCATATAGTGATGAAAAGAACATCCGGTCTTGATTTTTGAGACTTACGTTTGTCGCATGAATGAATGAAACAACATCAGGTATGTTGGGTATGTTTGAGAAAACGTCACTTGGTCTTAATTTGGGGAATGTCTTTCTGTTGTGCATGGCAGTTCTTTGACAAGCAATGCAGTCAGTAATGCAGTCTAGTGGTGTACAGACATTTGAAGGAGTCTAAAGCAATTTAGCACAGACTTCATGCAACTTTCAATATGGCCTGATACCAAATGGCTGGATACCAGTGTGCTAGATTATACTTAATAATTATACTTTATATGCATTTATAGTGGCAATGAACATCTCCACAGTGACAGCACTGTTTCGGGTAAATTGAATGTGATGCTGAATTATTTCCATCTAATGTCCTGCAAAAGAGATGTACAGTAGCTGTATCATGACAGTTCAGCTCAGTGAGTGTGAGTTAGCAGCATAGCAGCACCATTCATAGATTTGAATAGTTGATAGTCTGATTTTCCATGCAGCCAACTAGGGCTGAATGATTTGGGGGAAATATCTAATTGAGAGTAATTTTGTGATTCCAGTTTACTTTCGATTATTTTCTATAAATAAATGTCCAGGCTTTTTTTCATCTAGAAGACCAACACTTCCATTTTTTGAGACTTGAGTACTATAACACTGTATGTAGTGTGACATACTGTAAGTTCACAAGCTCTGTGCTATTAGGTTCAGTTTCCCTGCTTAAATTAAGTTGTTAGGACAATGTTGAATAATATAGAATATAATTAAAATTGCAGCTCTTGTGATTTGAAAATGGCACTCTCTCTTTTTTTTATTGTATTTTTTCCAAGGGGAGACGTTTAAAAGCATGCAATTACATGCAACACACAATCTCATGCATGCGTTAATTTCTAATTATATATCCTTTCATACATCTTCTAACCCATACCACTCCCCCTTTTTTACTTGCAATTAGAATGTCCCATAAATATTTGTCTGATCTTGTTACATGAAAATTTAACACCCCTAGGAAAAGTGTGAAAATTGCACTCTTTCAAGTTGTTATTTCTATATAAAATTGATTAATGGCTCAGCTCTACTACCAGCTCTGGGAAGACAACAGGTTGAGTGTATTAAATTGCAGCCATTTCATCTCTAACTGAGAAAGTTTTGTTATTCATCTTATTAAGGACATTTTTGCATTTGCAAAGATGTGATGGATTTTAGCCAAAACCACTTCCCTTACTGCTTGTGTTTAATCTGTGGCCTAAATAGTTCAATCTGTTAGAACGGGGGAATGTGACAATATTTATTGTTATCATGATAAAGTACATCACAGTATTTCACAATATGCTTTTCTGAGAATATCATGTATATTGTCAGTATTTAAAAACCACTTCCTAACTGCATGTTTGATTACAAAGAGAGCATAAGTAGTTCTTCTTTATTGGAGTTGCTGCATCACAGTGTGTGAAATGATGAATACAAATGATTGGATTTATAGTTTTTGATAGTATTTTTAAAATGTTTTACTCTGTTTTAAATTAACAGATGTCAGAAAAATACATATAGTGACACACTGTGTATTGTAAAAACTTCCTGAATAATCGTGATATTACATTTTGCCAGACCCCCCACCTCTGGTACCTATTATAACAGGAACACTGTATATAGTGTGCCAGACTGCAAGCTCTCAAGCTCTGTGTTATTAGGTTAAATTTCCTGACTTTAAACTAAGTTGTTAGGACAACGTTGAATAATATTGAATATAAATAAAACTGCAGCTAGAATATGATTAAAAAATACACACTAACTGGCTTATGATCATGCCCACTAACAAACTGACAACCCCTCTGTCTCAAACAGACCTGGCTGACCCGTACCTCAGAGCCGAAATCATGCTGTCTGAGCTACAGTCCTTCCCTGACGTCAACCGCAACACTCTTCTCTTCCTATTACATCACCTCAAACGGTAACATCCGCTGTCTTCCCTGTGACTGACTCTATTTCATCTCTGTCCAGTTTTAATTTGATATTCATAGGTCAAGAGGAAAGCTAAGATTTAACATTTTATTTAGAGACTGTAGTTCTAATATCAATGTTGTCCCGCACAATAACACCTGACTTCCTGTGACCTCTGGACTTAACTGATTTAGTTTCAGCTCTGTGTTTAACCTGGTTTCAGGTTGAGTCATTCAGGAGTAACTGTTCTCTCTCTTTCTCTCTCTTCAGGGTTGCAAAGAAAGCGGAACAGAATAAGATGTCTCTCAGTAATCTGGCCACAGTGTTTGGCCCCAGTCTCTTGCGCCCCCCAGTGGCCAGTCTTAATCATTGTGGCCCACCAGTGGACATCTCTCAGGAGGTCGAAGTTCAGGTAAGTTTGTTACCTTTCTTTCTTTCAAAAGGTGAAATTCCCCCCAATATCTGAACCACTCGCGAAATAGAAACAAGCAATGCCTTATCTAGGTCCTGGGGTCTTTCTGTCCTTCCACAGGTCCAAGTAATCTACCTCTACCTCCAGAATCAGAATCTTCCAGAAGCTGTCACTACCAAACTGCTAGAAACAGAGGAAGAACCATGACAGTGTTCCTTAGTGATGAGATCAGCAAACAGTGTTTCATCCCATTGCTGGATTCCAGCAGGAATCCATGAGGGCCATTGTGGTGGGTAGGATGGTACTATGCTGATACAGTGCGAAGCTAGCCAATGGAGGATGTCTCTTAGGTTATGTATACAGAACTGAACATTTAGCCGTTGGATACACAGACAACTTGTGTTGGCCCACACCCTTTGACTTTAAAGGTCGGTAGCTATTGTACATCAAGAGATCTAGCTAGTGGGTAGGAATTGGCTGTGCCTAAAATGTGGCAAAAATACTATTGATTTTCTCTTGAATTGATGTGAAATAAGAATCTGTATCCTGTATATTTATTTTATTTATAAAATAAAATATATACTTTCATAAAAGTAATTGCAATGACTAATGATTGATGCTGGACAGGGCCAGCAGAGCAAGTGTTATGAAAAGACAGAGTAGTGGGTGTGTATGTGTTCTTTGTAGCGCTGCTAACCAGGGCGTTGACTCTCCTGGAGTCTTCTGGGAGGCTGCAAGGTGAGAACTGCAGTGCAGAGCCTTTGTCCAGCTCATATACACGTCCGAGTCACCAATAACTTTTCTATGCAAGTCTCCCCCCACTATCCAAACAAATCAATCTGTCACGGTTCAGCTTCAACAAGGCCAGGTTTAGCATCATGTGTAGCAGCACTTCAAAGACTTCTGCAGGGGATACACACACATGCACACAACATCATCTGCACTGATCAAGCTCTGCCCATACAACTGAGTGTTGCCTTTCACCCCCTACACACCACCTGGTCAGAGTGGCCTACCCTCTCTGTCGCCCTTCAGTTACAGCTTTGATCCCTAATCCTGACTCTCTCGCTCCCAGCATTCCAAAGAGCCAGACAGGGGAAAAGCCCTTCGGTGTCAGATGTGCACAGAAACGCAGTCCAGACATTGTCACGGTAACAAAGAGCCGGGATCGTAAATCAGAAGTACCACGCTCAATCATTCAGCAGCAAAATGCTGAATACAGGCACAGCGTGAGCAATATGAGAGGACCTTGCCATTAGAAAGCAGAGAAAGGAAACTGACAATATGAGTAAAAAAGCTGAAGGACTTTCATTATGGACCTGGCTTTTCCTTCATAGAGCTCAAAGCGTTCTGCTTTAAATAAGATCATATAGCAGCAGATAGAAAAAAACAGGATTTATCTCATGAAATTAGAACTTGTTATTTTCATCTAGAAGAACAGTGTGTGTGGGTCACTGTGTCTGATGGGCATGTGTCTCTGCTAGTGTTCAACGTAACCTTTCAGTGAATTAATTCACACTGTGAATAGAAAATAGGAACTCCTGTGTTAAACAGTTTCTGCAAACGTTAAGTGCAAACAGGCTGCAGAATTTGCAGGAACAAACATCTTTGGCAGAACAAAGCAGTCAAGTCACTGAACTTCTGTGGTGAACTTCTGTGATGTAAAAAAATGCACTGGTCTTTAGGGCCACCAAGCCAGTGAATCTTGAAAAAAAGAAATATTTATAAGAAATCTTTACATTGCAATAAACATTGCCATTATTTTGGTCCCACCTGCCGAGCTGGTCTGCCCTGACCTTATCCTGTATGGGTTATTTTATTAGATCTGTTTAGCCACACCAGCTTATTTAAAACCTTATTTTATTTAAGGTCTTATTTGTAGAGTGATTTTAGCAGACTTTAGCCATTGGAACAGTTTCTAGCTGCTGAGCAGAAGGGACATTCATGGTCACCACACCACTGCGTTAGCTATTACGGTGGCTACAGTTAATACATTTTGTCAAAAAAAATCTCCAAGGCAAGTGACCATTCAGGCCACAGGCTCTGCATTTTTATTGGCCAAAATGTGAAATGCTCTGGCCAGGGGCACCAGGCAATAGGCACTGTCAACTCCTACTGAACTTACTGTACCAACTGAGTAGTTTTTTTTCTGGAAGACATTCTGCTTTCAATGTTTTCTTGTACATTGTTTTTTGTTCTAAGGTAATTAATTACTGCAACACTACCCATTTTGAGGTGTAAGTTTGTACACTAGGATATGGTGAGCCACAGATGGCACTGTTTTTATTGGAGCTAATGTGGAGGTGTCTTGTTGCCATGGATGCAATGTGTTCGTACGAGAGGCATTCATGCTAGGGATCAACTGGATTGACCTCCTCACTCTCGGGTTAACAGAAGCCGCGTGTGTATCTGGTTCCCTGGGCCAATGTCTGTGTGTATGTGTGTGTGCTCATAAGACAGAGTGTCTGTTTGAGCAAAAGTTTTTGTTTTTGAAACACTGTGGGAAAGCCTTCATGGCATGCTGAGGTTTAACTTATGGTGTCAGTGTTCAGCCTGACCAGAGAGAAGGAGAGTTAGAGAGAGAGTTTGAGAGAGAGAGAGAGAGAGAGAGAGAGAGAGAGAGAGAGAGAAGTAGGAGGGCTTGTTGAACTTTGACTCAGGAGGCCTTGCATCTCGTAAAAATTCTTCTTGCTAGGCAGTAAACATGGAGCTCAGAGCGTGGTGTTTATCCCACACACATCCATCGTGTGTCCCAATGAGCCAGCATGTTCGTCTGCCTGTACTGATACACTCAAGCTTGTTCAAACACACACACAAACACACAAAAACTGACACAATTGACGTATATCAAGTGTGTGTGTTCGGGGGCTCAGATGGTGTGAAGTATGTGTTATGTGATACACACAGTTGGCTCATAGACAAAATAGCGAACATGTCAGTATAAAAGCATGCATGTATGTGAGTAATACTTGAGGAGACATTTGTGTGTAGTGCCAGCAGCAAAGAGCTTTAGCTTTTACTGCTGAGAGAACTTCATATCAGACAGAATGGAGACAGGTGCTGCCTAGACAAATATAGCAGGTGCATCAGCTCCTTCTTTTTTCTCACTTTCTCTTCTCAATGTGAAGCTGAACTCTGTAGATATACCATAGCTTACATTTAGACTGCATACTACTCGCCTTCAGTTTAACAGTAGGGGTGGAAATCTCTAGGCACCTCATGATTCAATTTGATTAGGTTTCAATTAAGGGGCCAAAATGTGATGAACACACACACACACACACACACACACACACACATACATATATATATATATATATATATATATATATATATATATATATATATATATATATATATATATATACACTAATTTGTGACTGCAAACGTGTGCATTAGTGAGATTCTGCATTTTTTTTCCACCTCCAAGCTGCATTGTTCTGGCTGCTCATGAGCTTTTCTGTAGGGGAAATGCAGATTCTACAGAAAATCCAATTATGACATTTTGTGAATTGATTCAGAATCTATTGAGAGAGTTCTAAGAGTCCATTACTTTCCCCATCTATATTTAACCCACACACATATAACACACACAAATAATAAACAGATTTAAATGCATATTTACAATGCTTTATTGTGAGGTAGTGTGTTACATGTGCTACAAGAAAAATATGTAAGTGCTCTCGCATTGTAAAGTCTTAAGTTTGTTTGTAATAATAATCAACATCTAGTAGAATTCAGATAGCATTATACAGAAGAAATAATGCTAACTGATGCTTGTATGGAAGCATCGTAAGTGAAGTATTCCTTTTAAAAACCATGCTGAAGCTACAACATTCTCGATGCAGTCGTTTCAAACATTTAATGCGTCTCCTGCAGTCGGAACCATTTTAACATGACAGCAATGGTAATTACAGAATTAGGAAGTGTGAAAGCTGTGGTATGAAGTTTGGCAGTAATAGACAACTCAATGTCATAACTGCAGGTTCCAATCCCTTCATGGTCTTACTAAAGACATATGCCGCCTGTTATTGTGTGATGACATAAGACATTCCACAAACTGCAATAAAAAGATGGCTTGATATGGAGGTTTTTACTCAGCTTTAGAGCACTGTTTAGTGACAGATAGAATCATTTCATGTTTTTAGAAAATGGCTCTTTTTCACTAAGATAGTGTTTTTTTTTTTCTTGTATACCACAGTTAGTTACAACTTGCTAATGTTTTTCTGTGTATTTTACAATATACATGTTTAATAGGGCAAAAAAAACCCTTAAAACTTAAAATTAATTGCCACTACCTTACTAGTGGTCAAAAAAAGTGTTGTTTTTTTAACAATATGTAAGTGTTTAGGTGCTAACACACATATGAAGTGTACAGGGGTACTGGTAAGAGATACAATAAATAAGGTTTTATTTCATTTTTCATCACAGAAAGTCACACACCCAGTCTAGAGTGATATAACTGAAAAGATTTCACAGTTAATAAGACTTAAAAAGAAGCTGGAAAAGCATCATGTCATTCACCATTTTTGTAGTTGTTGTCCACACTGCACTACATGGTTAAATAAAGCCTGTTTCACATATCTTTTATTAAAACCCAGAAACTAAAAACACTGCATTCTGTCTGATGATTGAAGCACTTAATAAGTAGCCCCTCACTTAGCTTTTCCATCTCAGTCTTCAACTGCCCAAAACTCCGACTCTGCCATTGAAACATAAACCTTACAGCCTTTTGAGAAAATATAATTTTAAGCCTTATTGCTACATTTTAATTGGTGCAATATACCGTCATTGTTGTCTAGGCAACAAAAACTGGCCTGCCAGCTGCAGCAGTTCATGACCCTTAAAGCAGAAACCGTCTTTTAAGATTATTCTTTCATCTTTGGCACACTAGCAGGATTAAAACGAATAAAACCATAAGAAAATCTTGTGTGTGAGCTCTCTGTCCCAGATTTGGGAAAAAAAGCTTTGAGTTCCTCAAAAAAAGACATTCAGGAGACTAAAATAAACCTCCCTAAGTCTCCAATTCAATGGATGCATGATTTTACTTACATTTGGGCCATACACTAACAAAGGCCCAGAGCTGTCATCTGATTATCTTGCCCACTGCTTAACTAGCTATTATTCCATATTTATTTAATTTTCTCTTTCTGCTTCTGCTGAACTTTCTTCTTTCTGTTCATACGTGACAGAGGGCCCTGGTGACCATGTTGGGCAAACTGTTGGTAAGTGAGGGTACTGGTGACTATTGAGTGGGCTTGTTTTTTCAGGAGCATCTGATGGATTATTCTGATTTTCCTGTAAGGAATTCTTAGTATCTTGTAGTGACAAGTCTACGTGGAATCCCTCGCTGTGTATAGCATTTTCAACAGAGTGTTCTCTATGTTGACTAAGATTTCCTTGCATGACATCTGTGTGTGTGGTGTCTCCATGTGTGTCCGGAGCATTTGTTGTAGGGACTGTTTCTTCAGACTTTGCAAAGAGTTGGTGGTGACTGTGTGGCAATGGGTGCATCTCAATCTGCGGTTTCTCAAGATGTGGTGGTATGTATTGCTCACTGGTATGAGATTGTGTTCGTGCTGTGGTGTTTGTATGTGGAAGGCACTTCCCTCTGTTGTCCTGCCCCCGAAACCCCCTTAATTTGGGACTCCAGTGTTCTCTCCACTGTAGGGCCATCGTGGAGCGATCAGCAACCAATCGCTTCTCTCCTGGGGCCCAGCTTCTCCTGTTTTCCTCTGCACCAATCAGGAGGAAGGTCCTCCCCACTTGAAGGGCAGGGCAGCCACAGCCCAGATCCCGATCAGGAACCCAAACGGCTTGTAGGCCTCTCTTAACCTGAGACGACCCAACACGGAACACTGACTGCACCCACGCAGAGAACTGCCACCAGGGTCCGGAGCGCTCCTTAGCCCTAATCTGCACCTTCAGGACTATGGCAATCAGGAGTGATATTCCTTCCATTAATGGCTAGACTTTACAACAAAATGTTTGATTAATTTCACCAAATGATTTGCCTGTGTTGTGGACTCTCTGACTTACCATAGTCTTTGAGGCAGAAGGTCTCTAGATTCATTCTGACTTTGACCTGAGAAGGCTGGCAGTAAGAGAGACACTCCTCACCTGAGAAATATGAGGGTGAATGACAGAAATGCAGAAGGAGAAAAGTTGAACAGGACTGGGAAGGATGTTATCAGCTATTATCACAAGATGATGCATGAATATTAATCTATAAAAAATACAGCTTCATTAACAACTACAATACATAGATGCTCCACAAGGTGGCAGTACTTAACAATGAAACAGACCTCTTCCAGAAGCAGTGACTGAAACAAACTGAAATGTTTTGTACTGATAGAACCAGTGGAGTGATTGTTAAAAAAAAAATCATGGGGGTGGTGAGTTCAAACAACTGGGTGGAAATGGGAATACTCCAAATACATCCATTGTAATTTGGTGTGAACATTTCAAATATAGATATAATATGTGTAATAGACATAATAAAGGAATAGTTTGCCAAAAAATCAGATTCACCTAGTTTTACACTTATGGACTACATCTGGGATCAGCTAAGACATGTTTGGAGTCCAAACTTTGCTTCTTTTGTTTAGAACTGGAGCTGGGAGGCTAACCATTAAAAAGCAAGTCACTCAAAAAGCCCAAATAGTTTCTGTAAAAACACATCCTATAAACTTCTCTCAACCCATTCAACCTCATCCAGGTCTTCATTGAGGTTGTGCAGACCTGCCAATGTGGTTTACAGCACAGTTTGACTTACTGTCAACTTTAAAAATAAAACAAACCTTCACCACTATACTGCATTTCAGACAACACCAAGGCTGGTATTCACAAAGTAAGACTTTAGATCAGATTCCTCTGTATTTATGAGGCTCACTGTCACAAACATTGGTTCTAGATCAGCACTTCTACTCCTGAGATGCTTTGTGAATACAAACCCTGTTGTCTAAAGTGGCTGCCTGCAGTTTTGCTCATTTTATTGTTTACCGTAAGTCATACTGTGTTCTAAATCACACTGACTGCATTACCTTACTGAGCAAGTTTCGGTGAAGCATTTTTTGGGGCTCTTTGGGTGACAATTGTGTTCGTGTCTGCTAGCAATGTTAGCTTTGCCTCTCCAGTTCTAAACTAAAGAAGAAATATTTGGATACCACATGTCTCAGCTGATTGACATTTTTTATTTTTCGCTGAACCATTCCTTTAAGTGATAACATTCATTTAAAGGAGATGGAAAGGGTATGGCAGTTTTACAATGGGGATGATTCTGTCATTTTTTTTTAATGAGGAGATGGCATCCTCTTGCCTCGCCCCTCGAATTGAGACCTGGATAGGACCTTACAAGGTTTGCTGAGATATCTACTATGATTACAAATTATAAATACACGTACCTCTGCTGTACTGAGGCTGGTACACTGGGGTTGGTGGAGTAACCTCAGGGATGCCTGATGAGACAGCAAGAGAGAGAGAGACTTGTAGCAAGAGTGACAAGTTTATTTGTGTGCCTTTGATTTTGTCTTTCCCCTTTCTCACACCTCTACTATGTGTGCAAGCTCTCTAATCCCACTGGTGGCTCATTAGTGCATGCTGATCGTGTGTGTCTTTGCATGGACTCCAGAGTGAGGATATGTGTGCTATGTGTGTGGTTCCCCCCCCCCATGACTCTCAGTGTATGTGGAATGCCTGTGCCAGTGACTGGTGCATGGTTGTCAATATATGTGTCTGTGTGTGTATCCAGATGGGTTTCTGCACTTGTGTGGTCCTTCAAGAGTTTGGTAAAAGTGTTTTCTCTGTCTCTCTCTCATTCTCTCTCTCTCTCTCACTCTCTCACACACACACTTTAGCCATTAAAGGTCTACACCGCTACTCTGGGCCAGCCATATATTACCCCAACGTCTTGTCCTTTCGCCCACATCTCTGACACAACTGGGCCAGTGACACCTTATCCCCATCCTAACCGCACATGCAACAAGCCACCATACACTTTATAAGGATGCAGCTGTAACCATTACAGATGTGCTGCCACCGTATTATTCATTTACTCATGATCCCTTGCACTAATATTTGCCTTTTCACCTCTGGGGTCCTAGACTTTGCTTCTAGCAGCAACAAGGGCCTTGTAAAAATAATTGAACGTCTTGCTCTGCTTCTGCTTTTCCGTGCCAGAAATGTTCCGCACACTTATAGACGACTCGCAGGTCGTGTTATGCAAAATAAAGACCCCCCACTGGTTCTCCGGGTGTCTCGCTAATAATACAGCCCGGCTCAGTTTCCCAGTGATGAACGACGAGGGGCATTTCCTGCTGGTGAAAAGGGGAGAGCGCTTCGGGGCTGTTCTCGCTATAAATAACATAAATAACCCAGCCAAGCCGAGCTCCGGTAAAACAACAAACAAGTCCGTCTTTCACTGAGCCCTTACCCGCGAAGAGTTATGCGGGTGTCATGGCTGGAGTGAGAGCGGTGGGTCTCGCGAGCTGAGCAACAGGTGCCTCGCGCACGCAGCGTCACCGAAGCGGAGAGTTAAAAGCATTGCAACTGCGGCTGGAATTAAAACGGAGCGATGCACCCGGATTATCGCGAGCAGTCCAGCCTCGGCGAGAATAAAGAGCTGGGAAATCCAATAAAGCCTGATCACCGGGCGGACAGGAGCTCGGCACCCGAGTACGAATTAAACAATTTATCTTAATCAGACCAAGAGCAGTCAATGTCACACTAAATAAATGTGAAGCGGAGAGAGAGAGTGGACCACATCCATTTATTTAAACTCGTAACGATGGACCTGACTAACTTTAACCCCTGAATGAGGGGCTCTCCAAAAGCCTTGGAAATAAATGTATTTTGGTTTCTATTTTTGATATTCTACGTTATAAAAATAAATGCTAAATACTACGAGGCTCTATTTTCCATGAGCATATTCCGTGTTCTGCTTACCTGCCTGCTGTTTCCGTTAACACACCCCCCTCAAAAATATAAGTGGTTTGATCCTCCTGCTCGCAAATCTATGGTTCTCCATTGCTGGCTAGTTGCACATTACTATCCTGGATTCAAAATTTGTTGCCATGCCTTTGCGATCAAAGCACAATTTAGCTCTATGCGAGAGTAAGTGTCCTTCTAGAAGGATGACTGTGAGTGATTTGCTAAGGCATGGAAATTCTTCCATTGGAATGGTATATGATGGTGGTACTGATCAATGTAGCTGCTGCATCAAGAGTAGATTAGGATTACCTGAATCCACACCATTCATTCTGAATGAAGCATGTCCCCCTCCTCAACATTCATCCCCTGATTGGAGAACAACTTGGCTGGCACTGTGAGGTTTGATTTCCATGTCCTACACTTGCTCTAAGAAAGTTGCATCTCTTGACATCTCTGTGAAGAGACTGGGACTATAATGACTCAACTGTCCATTAACAGTCTTAGATGGGCAGCTTCCCTTCAGGATGGTTTGGGTCTGCAGGATACACTTTGTATGGTACTAAATCATCAGCTCAGCTAATCTATCTCCAACTTAGATTAGCCCAACTGAATCATCAAACTTGGGAGCCTGGGGAATATCATCAGCTGGCTCAGCTACCCCATGCTTTTGAGGTTTTGCATTTTTACTTCAAGATGCCTAATGTATACTAGTTGAAACAGTCTCCACTTTTGAAGCAATAACTCCACAGAACACTTCATGGTAATACAGCTAAAATGATGGCCCATTGCACCACAGTGTGCTACCTCAGTGTGTTGTCTATAGTGAGTTCAGTGGCAGGATTCTAGGTGGACAATGTTGCATGTAACAAGCATTACTATAATGAGGATAACAGCCACCAGCAAGCCTACTTCATTTTAGCTGTCATTAGATAATTACCCTCTCATGACCAGAACCAAAAACATTTTTAAATTTTCAACATAATGCACAATTGCTTAACTCATACTTATTTATCTACTATAACAATTTACAGCATACTACAGCAGAAATAGGGTAAATAAACAGAGACATTCCTTTTACAGCACTAGGTTCAGACATTTGAGTAACTTTTTTCTCCTCTTTTAATGGCTTCTTAGAAAACTTAATTATTTGTCATCATACTGGTCAACTAGAGAAACTGCCACATGATTGCTCATGTGATTCTAGTGTTATCAGTAAACACAAATAATAGCAACAATGGAGGAGCTTCAAATTCTGATTGACTGTTTACTCAGTATTTTTTATGTGAAGAGTAACAGAGCAATTCTGGATAGATAGTGTTTATAGAAATGGCAGTTGTTTGATGACGTGTGATGTTTGCGACTCACAAATCAATGGTCTATACCATTTGTAACTCCACCCATATAACCCCCGGTTCAGTAACTTTGGTATCCCGAAACAAGGGTAACTAAGTTCAGCAGTTACTCAGACTACAGTACAGTACACCTGGCAGTGGAAATGACAACAAAACACGTGATGAGGGATTTATAACCATATCATGTCATACTGTACTGCCCAATGGAAAAATGCCTTAAGGACTGTATTATATATCATCTTTCACTACAAGGTGCTTGGCAAAGCACAGGGAAAGCTAGACATTTAGTTTTAAGTAGTAAGAGCAATATATGGGTGAATACAAAGTGCATACACTCAGCATCTAACAGGTACTCACGAATGCAGGGCCGAAGAGGCGAGCGGCCCTGTTTGTATCCTGGAGCACAGCGATTACACCTCTGGCCCGTCACCCCCTCCCTGCACAGACACTGACCTGTGGCCTGGTTACACCAGTGGCCCACTGCTCCCAGTGGATGGCACTGACAGGCTGGAAGAGAGAAAGGAGTGAGGAGAAGATTAGAGAGATGTAAGCACTGCGATAGCACCTGAATCAGTGTGGAAAATACAAAAACACATGCAAAGCATGTTTTTTGCCCCTGGAGTTTTGTCTCTGTGTGAATGTAGAGGAGAGTAGAGAGCAGTTCATGTGGGATGGAACAAAGTTAAATAAATACTGGAGGAATGATGAAAAGAAACAAAGTTAACATACCTAAAGAAAAGAGGGACAAAAGAGGATATAACAAAGTAACTGTTAGTATTACGTCAAGTACTGTAACTTTCCCCCTATGAAACCAAATGACGTGGCAGAGAGTGAACAGCAGACATAACTGAGCAGTTTCTGTTTCAGCTCAGCCTGCGCTCATTCAAACAAACCTCCAGCAGCCTTGCAAACATTTAAACACTTTCCAATAATCAGGTCAGCCTCAACATTAACACAGTGTAAATCTATCTGATTCTGTGCATTTTAAATATTTTTTATCAAGCTAAACTCAAATATCTAGGTGTTTGCTATTACTTTGTGGAATTCATAGAATACATGGCAAAGATTTAGGTATTGTGTACATTTGTAGGCCTTTCCTATATGACTTCCACATCACATTATATGTAAACATACTGGAGCGTGACACAAATGTGTCTACACACAAAGGCCGCACACAGTGTGAACTGGAGTTATATTAGGATTGAAAGCTCCTATAAGCATGCCACGGTCATGACAGCAAAGGCCAAATGTCAGAGCACATTCCAGCACTCACAGCGTAGCCATAACATAGACAAAGTCTCTCACCCTTTTTCTTATGCATACCGCCCTAACAGCAGCTAACAGCAGTTTCTAACACGTACCGCAACAAGTGAGATAAAATGTCTATGAACATTTTTGAAATCTAAGCATTTTTGAATTCTAAGTGATAGGAGGTGAAAGAGTTTTCATTGGCATGCTTGAGTGCAGTGATAATTCTTTTTTCTGTGTTATAATATTGTATAGTACATTGATTGCTCAGGCACATTTACACAAACAACAAAAAGACTGACGTTGGCAGGCCTTGCGGTGGCTGAGGGACTTCTTGTGGTCACGTGTGTATCCATTCTGGCAGAACTGGCAGTGGCGTCCGGCTGTGTGATGCCTGCACTTCAAACACACTCCTCCACTGACCCTGCCGGACTGCTGAAAAACCTCCATACTGAACCTGCACTTTGTTGAGTGGCCATTACACTCACATGCTGTGAGAGAGAACAAAAGAAATTCAGAAAGAGAGGGAAAAGGGAGCTACTACATAGGTGTATAAAATGAGTAAAATAAAAGGCATGGCTGGCAAAAATTATCAAGTTAACACTAAGTAGGTTACTTGCCTATTGTAGTTTAAGTTTGGGAAATGTTTATCAGTAGCCCTATAGTTAACACTCTAGATGGCGAGGGCCCACCGGCAGCCCCAAAGTTTTATTACACACTTTAATAACCTAAGAATAGCTTAACCAGTTTGCACTGAAGTCTCTGTCTTTACTGAATAACCAGCCTTAGCATGTAATAAGCCTGGGGTTTTAGGGGGTTAAACAACGGCAATCAGACATAAGATTATGCACTCAAAGGCACAATGGCCCTGTTCACATTTGGTATTAACTTCTGTCTTGAGTGATCTGATCGTGAATGAACAGCAAGACATAAAGCCATTTACACCAAGTGTGTCGGAAGCATCTGACCACGTGACCAAGCTGCGCCCTGAAACCCTAAAAGTTACTGCTTCTTCCTACCAATCCAGGTCCTTCCCTCTGTGACCTGGGTACTGATTTTAAGATGCTATCTTGGCAGCTGTCCTAATACCGAGGGAGGCAAGAGAAGCTTCACCAAACATCTGCCGAAGCAACTTCAAATGGAGGATATAGGTGTGTATGCCCCCCAAGAAGTATTTTACAGTATTACAGTGGTCTCACTACAAGAACACCTAGGGAGGACAGACAACATTGGGTAGGTCTACTGTGCTTTTCATTCTGTGTTTTATTTGTATCTGTATAATCTCAGTTGTTGTGTATTTTGTACTTGATGTAAAACAATATAAAGAATATGGAAGAGAAGGCAATGCACAAATGTAAACAGGCTGGCCACATGTAGCAACTGATAGCCTGCTGGCAGTATTAGGGGTGTGCTTTTAAGCAAATGTTGTGATAGCCTTATTTAATCAATTAATTGACATAAACTTTGTTGACATTGAAAGGGTTATTTCCCTAAGTACTGCTCATTCTTTTCATTCCTTCTGCTTCTGTCCTCCCTTTGACTCCTTCACGTTCTTCTGGAGTAGGAGAAGAGTAGTAGCAATCCATCAGGAGGACACGGCAGTTTCTTTCTGCATTTATTGTCAGATAAAAAATTCTAGCAAGTCCTTGCTTATACATGTACGAGCTGTTACAAATGTTTAAAGAGCATGGACTGCTACCTCAATTTGTAAATAGGAGAGGAGATGAAGAGAGGAGCTGTGAAAGCTGCATTCGTTTCTGCAGTTGATTGGACGGTCCTTAGTCATTGTCAGGGATGCGTTTGCGTTTACAAATGTTATAAGATCATTTGTATCCCTGATCACCTCTAAAGGTGGTTTGAGTGATCAGATTATAGGGTCCTATGCATCTCAAAGACGCATTGGACTCTGCCCACTCCTGCACTTAGGGCTTTCCACTTATTATCACATCTCCCAAGATACATGTTAATGCCAGGTGTAAAGGGGGCCATATACACACATACACAACACAGTCATAACTCACGGACGCACGGGTGTGCCTGGGAGGGTGTGGCCCGTTGCCATGGGCGATCATAATAGAATGGCTCACAGACATCACAGTCAGGTCCTGCTGTGTGATGCTCGCACTGGCATACTGCCTGACCCTGGGTGTCACGGCGACAACGGGAGGCATGGCCATTACACTTGCATCGGCTGCCAACCTGAATGTCAGAGAGGGCAAGAGGGAGTCTAGGTGGAGCTGAGAGGGAGGATGGGGAGAGCTGGTGGGTGGCCTTGTTCTTGAATCTGGAACGAGACCTTTCACTTCCAGCATTGTTCCTTCTCCTCCTCAGCTCCCTCCCTTTAGAGCCCCGCCCCCGCCCTTCCACTGTCCAATCACACCCACCATCCTGGCATGGCTTCCAATGAGGTACGTCCTTCTTGCGACCTCGTCCTCTGCCTCTACTCTCTTGAGTCTCTGTCTGCTTGCGGGTCACATTGTGTCCACTTTCTTGTAAGGAACTCTTATTGCGATTTCTCCTTAATGATTTTTCTGTTTTTCCTTCTTTCCTGCGTTGCTTTGTTTCTGTGCTCTTGGTCCTAGTGTCTTTCTTTTCTACTCTCAAAACATTTTCCTCTCTTTCTTTCTCAGCTTGAGTTACAACTTTACTTTTAGATCCCAGACTCCATATCAGCGACACATCCACCTCATCTGGCTTCTTTTCTTGCTGAACTGTTTTACTTTGTGACTGATGGAACACTATCCTGATATCAGTGGCAGTTACCCAGTCCTGGAGCCCAGGACTGTATTCAAAATCTGCTGAAGAGGGGCGTCCGTCTAGGGTCGAAAAGGCCAAAACGACCCCTCCACGGTGTTTCTGCAGGGGCCTTGGATCTGAACATAGAGACTCCATCTCCTGGTGCCTGGTTAGAGCAACAGACTGAGCAGGAAGGCCAAATTTCCCCATGCAGTCACTTGAGTAGAATTGTAGGGGGCGCCAGCTGCGACCATAGTCCATTGACTTCAGGATAGAGATGGAGAATGGCTCAGCAGGCTCGGCCTGCTGGCAGAACTGCAAGCTGACATAAGTAACCTCAAAGCGTCTGCCAAGGGGCACAGTAAAGGTCCATTCTCCATGAGCTGAATCTTCAGAAGCTGTCCAGCAGGTCAGGTTGTGGGGATTATGGAGGTCTGTCAGTGAGGTGATGTTCCTTTCTGTACCTTGCAGCAGATCCTCAGCTCGAACAGGAACTCCATAGGCAGCGTTGATGAAATCAGACAAGCAGTGGCGTGGACGGCCATCCAGGTGGTAGCAGGGGTCATGGGGAGATGTCCAGCGAAGTGAGGATTGAGAAAGTGAGGGAGAGAGAAGGGAATAAGGGCAAAAACAGAGCAGAAATGGAAAGAGGAGAGAGAGGGATGGGAAGGGAAGGGAGTAATATTGGAACATGATGTCATCAGGCCTGCAAAACAGGAAAAAAGAAGAAAGAAGAGATTCAATTTAGTCAAAAAAAGAGGTCACATCATAACAGGAAACGATACCGATGGATTTATCTGAAACACGACTGCAGCCAAGAAAGCAAGAGCATTACGATATCCATTTTCAAAGACTACACCACCTGCACCCCAATTGAAAACATCCCCACTTATGCCACGCGCTCCAAGGGATGGAAGTCAACCATTTTATAGCAATAATCCCAACCAATCAGAGACCAATCTGTCAGTGGGGGCTCCCTCCGTCTGTTCTATGTCACAACGTCCAGCCTAATGCAGCCTTTTAAAACATATTCAACTTGACATCTTAGGATGCAGATCCCATGAAGAAAGAACGAGGGCAAACGAGTGTGTGAACATGGAAGCAGATTCTGTGAAGGATGACAGAAAGCATGAGAAACAGCTGGCCCACTATCCCAACCCCGACATCATTCATCAAATTTATAGTCATTCTTCCATTCCTAATCCAAACCTGTGCAATGCATGTGGAGAAGAATCAGGGAACAGGATAAAAAGGAGCAAGAGTGAAAAGAGAGAACTTATACATATACAGTGGTGTGAAAAAGTGTTTGCCCCTTTCCTGATTTCTTATTCTTTTGTCACACTAAAATGTTTCAGATCCCCAAACAAATTTAAATATTAGACAAAGATAGCACAAGTAAACACAAAATACAGTTTATAAATGAAGATCTTTATTATTAAGGGAAAAAGAAATCCAAACCTACAGGGCCCTGTGTGAAAAAGTGATTGCCCCTAAACCTAATAACTGGTTGGGTCACCCTTAGCAGCAACAACTGCAATCAAGCGTTTGCGATAACTGGCAATGAGTCTTTTACAGCGCTGTGGAGGAATTTTGGCCCACTCTTCTTTGCAGAATTGTTGTAATTCAGCCACATTGGAGGGTTTCCGAGCATGAAGCGCCTTTTTAAGGTCACGCCACAGCATCTCAATCGGATTCAGGTCAGGACTTTGACTAGACCACTCCAAAGTCTTAATTTTGTTTTTCTTAAGCCATTCAATTTTGTTTTTCTTAAGCCATTCATATATATATATAAGGCAGTGGCTAATATGCATGGTGGCTATCTTTCTTTATTCTACGTGAGCCTTTTTAAAAATCCCCTAAATGGATTTGCCAGGGAAATAAAGGCAATATTTGTTTAATATACAATAGTGTCTTGGTGTGAAGTGAACTTCTACCTATACCTTTTTTTCTATAAAGAACCATATACAACCATCATGGAGAATCAGCCACGCATCAACTTGTGGCTGAGTTTAGTATCTTAATACCACAAATAATTATGCCTATGATGAGTTAACCTGCAGTATAATTTGCAACCTCTTGTTAACAGATGTTGTGGCTATTACCACACCATATTAAAATGTTTTGCAATGTCTTTTCCTGGTCTGTTAACCCTTGCCCAGCATTATTTTGCTATGTATTCGATTCACATAATTATTTATAAGTAATTACATCATTACATGATTACTTAAAGAATTACATTTATATTCAGTATAAATTCTGTATTGGTAGGTTTGAGTGTGCACTTCTAACTTTTTCAGTTCTTTTTTTGATGTAAAAAAAGACAAAAACCTGGCAAAATGTAAAAGAACTATTCATCAAATTCAAATAAGAACCTGTCTCCTGTACAACTCAACGCAAATGTGGTATTGATAAAATGTTTGTAATCTGTATTTCTCTATGCTACAAGTAAGAAGTCATTCAAGAAGAGGCGTTTCAAGGTGTATACACATCTGGGAACCTAGGAGGTTTAAAAAGAAGGAGAAGGAGAGATGGTATGAAGGATGAAGAGAGCATGGAAGATAGACAGCTGGCCTCAGCAAGCAAGACGAAGAGGGCAGAGATTAGATGAGAAAACTCAGTGGCAGATTTACTGATTGAATGTGAGAAATGCATCCTGACCTGGAAGCCTCATCGTGGCACATCCTAAAGGAGAACAGAGTGCAACTGTCCCTCAGCCAAATGTGAATAACTCTCCTGCTTCCCTCTGAGACCCCAGCTTTTTATTTATTTATATGTCAAGAACTTGACACCCAGGAAGGTTGCAAAATCTCGCCTGCAGATATGACGAACAATGAACCCACTTTTACATTAACGGGGTGATATACTGCTTTGTCAGCTCACAGCTTTAAGAGTCCGTGAGACAAGCAGCCATGCCAGAGCAGACCTCACACCCTACAGGCCCAACATGTGAAATCCAGTTACAGTTTTTAGTCATTAGCTCTGCAATTCTTCTCATTGTTCAGGAGTTATTTGTCCAAAACACATATCCAGACAAGAGACTCATTGCAGCAAGTCTGTTCCTTGGATTTGTGCTTCCTCTGAAGATTCATCCTGTTTGTAATCAGCAACTTCACTCTCTCTCTCTCCCTGTATCACCTGCCCCTATCGTTCTAGGACTATTCCTAAGTGCTGATGATTGATGATGTCCTAACAAGCGTTTGACATTGACAGCAGAGTCAGCAGGGCTGCATAAACCAGCCCGGTTGGAGAGAGGGGCGCTGGGAGGGTAGTCACCATGCTCAATTAGCTCACTGCCTGAAATCTGAGCAACCCTGGGGGCAAAGGAGCAACACTGAGGGGGGGAAGGAAAAAAAACCTAAAGCCGTTTCTTGCATTCTCTCACTCTATCTTATTTCTGTATAACCTCTCATTTCACACTCTGTAAAAAATGAAACACTTTCTAAAAATTGTCATCAATACTGGTCCTTGAACTGTCATTGCAAATGTCCCACAGCACCCTTTAAGTGTCAAGCAGCCCGCCCCTCATTCCAGTCATGTTGTGACTTGCCCCAGGGGGAAACATGAGTGAATACGATCCAACACTCATCCGCATTAATTGATCGGCTGATTAATTGGCTCTTGGGTTTCGACATGGAGTCTTCGAGTCAGGAGGAGTGAGACGCTGAGTTAGGTTAGAGAGGAGGTGGCCACAAGGAACAGCTCTAATACTTGGACAGTGGGGGCTGTATTGTATAACAGCTCTTGCACTTCGTTCATTTACATTGTGTGTTAATCAAGTACATCTCAATACATGCAGCCTATTTAACTCACATGGACTTATGATCTTCCAGAAGTTTTGGACATTACCCCTCCCCAAACGTAGGCCTGGTCAGTACGTCTCGCCTGATCTTCATTCCAGCAGGGCAGATACGGTTTCCACAATTTATCCTGCGCTTTCCATAAATTCACACTCGACGCTTGGCAGAAGAAGTTAGAAGTAGAACTTGATCCACTTCAGCTCAGTCTGACTTTGAAGATGATAGGGCTTCTTCTTTAGCCCACAGGCCACGATAAGTTAGCAGGAAGCCAAAGAGGAATTGGCACAATTATTTTGTGTATGTTTAGGCATGTAGACCATGGAACAAGGCAAAGCTTATGTCATATACAGCACTGTTCAAAAGTCAGAGACCACCCTTCCATTTATTTAATTTCCAGTCAAAACAACCTTTAGGTACAGGCTATTTATCTTATAGTGTGAGAGAAAAAGTGCAAAACCTATTCAACTGAATATAATTTCACACTTTCAGTATTTAGTGTGCCCACCATTTCCTTCCACTCTTTTCTGAGACATTTGCTTTCAGTTTTTTCAAAGAAATCTGCAGGGATGTTTTTCTACACCTCCAAAGCTTGGTCTGAGAAGTTGGTTGCATTTTTTCTGTTTTTTACGATCCAAGTACTTTCAATTACAAATTTAGAGTCATCAGTTCAATAAAATATTTCAATTTCAGTTTTCTAATTCAATTTTTCCTTTTTTTTTCTCAGTTGTCTTCTCACAGAGGAAGGATAAACAGTCCTTATACTACACAAATACTACACAATACTGCACTTATACTACACAAATCTATGTGAATCATACATTACCTGAACTTAATTGAATTGTGGAAAAGACTAAATTGTTTTCTTTCAAAAAAGGCAATTTTATTAATCCAACATAGTGTACTAAAATTAATCTGTTATTGTATATGCAGCTCAGTGTATTAAAGTTCATTAAACTTCATATACCAGGGTTGAGTTAACGTTAGTAATAGAAAATGTGCAATTTAACTATTTAAGAATGAGTTTAAGTGGTTAATCAAAATATGGAATGCAATCATACACTGAAGAGAAGATGGCCCAGGAGGAAAGACTGTAAGAGGAAGGAAGAGATTGTAAGTAAAACGAGGAAATACACTCCTATACACATAGATGGAACCAGAAGCCAATAAAATCTGTGTCAATCTCTCCAGCTGCTGCACTCTCAGAAATAAAGGTACTAAACAATCACTGGGGCAGTACCCCTCTTGTCACGGGGGTGGTACCCTCAAGGGTACATCTCATTACCTTTAGTTAGGGAACATAATTATACCATAATCCATTGAAATTATATTTTTTACTAAGTTGTGTTGACTCCACACACTCTGTCTTGTCTCCAGGCTTTATATTTTATTGCTCTGTTTTAAGACCTTGGGTTATGAAAGCGACAAATCTGTACTTCTCACCTGGGAAAAACTCATTTAAGGTTCATAATTGGACCTTAAAACCACTGTTGTACTTTTGAGGGAACATTTACATTGTTTGTATCTTGATGAACAAATAATTTACGTGCACAGAACCTTTATTTCTAACAGTATAAAGGAAACTGAAAATAAATTTCAGTACATTGATTCAGTTCAAAAATCTATTTTAAATCCATGAAATCAGTTCCTCTGACTCAAAACAGTTGCGTCATCTTGGATACTTCCTGTTTAAAGCACAACAGACTTAATTTATTTGAATATGTGCCTGGTGGAAATCCCAGGAGACTTGGAGAAACACAAAGAGGAAGTGTCAGTAGGATGCACAAAAGTAACGAGTGGACAAATTAAATACTGATGGATTTAAAATTAGACTCAGTGTTGGAAGCTTTTGAGTAATTTTCTGTTAAATATATTTCCTGCTTTTTTCTGTCACTGAAAAGTGAATAACTTG